TACAGTTTAGTAATTTGCCCTTAGCACTCATGCTAATGCTGATTCTTAAAAAGGAGAAACCCAGTTCTAGAGATAGACATTCAAGAAAAGCAGTCATGTGCCTCATAATACTGTTTGTGTCAGTCAGGAACCACATGTACATATGAGGTTGTTCCCAAAGTCGTGCTGACAAGTGACACTGTAGCCTTCTTAGCTTGTGTAAGCGCACTCTGTGCTCTCCGCACAATGACCAACCACCTAATGACACATTTCTCAGAATATATCGCTGTCACTAAGGAACGCATGACTCTTTCCTGAGCATCTGCTGTGTACCAAGCACTTCCCTGCATGTTGGGCTTTCAGCTGTGAATATGAGACCAGGCCCTTCAACTGTGTGTTGGAAAGAGGCCTCCTACAAAGCACTTCTCAAAGCTAGGAAGAGCCCCTGAAAAAACAGACAGCTTTTTTTTACCGGATTGATTTGATTTAGACCATGGTTCTATGGATTAGTTGCTTGAAGGTTTTGGGTAAAGTCATCACTGCCCATTCAAGTTTATTTTCTTATCTGTAAAGTGAAAATAATAAAACCAATGCAACATTCTCATTGGAAGAATTAAAGAGAGTAGATAATATCTTGACACAGAGATGCATACAATTTTTACGTCACTTTGATCACATAGTTTTGGTGCCTCACAACACAGCAGATACTTTCAGATACTTACTGCAACATAGCAGATACTTTTCTACTGATTAAGATCTATTGAATATCATATCTATCTAGTCAAACTCATTTACTAAATCAGCAAATATATTTCATAGCCACATTTTTAGGCAAAGAACTCGCTTCTGATTCCTACTATCCCAAAAATAGGCAACATGAATATTGTTGAGATCCTTGCGATCTGAAGGTCCCCAAAGGAAATCAATAGCAAGTTTTTTAGTTACATCATGTAATGTTTTCAGTTCTCTGAATGTCATGTTATATAATTCCACGCGTTCTGGAACCCTTAAGGAAATGCTGAGCAAGTTACACAAGATGAAAATTCAACCACTTTTAAGGACTAAGCTCTATGAAATGTAAATGGCACTTGCTTAAACTGACCTACATAATAAAAGCCTTAAAAGAAACTCCAAGTTTTAACTTTTGAAAATATATAGCAAATTAAACTATTCCAGCTTATCCATCACTGTATTGTTAAACATTTTCTACAAAAAAAAAATTGTAATGAAAAAAACCCACATTTGAGTTTAACCAAAAAGAAAAAAAAAAAACTTTTTAAGAGTTTTATAGCTTGAATAGAATACAAAATTGGAAGAATTTTATACTTTTTTCTTACTATTACTACAACTGCAATAGAAATAATCTATGACTAGAGATTAGAGGCAAAGCAGCAAAAAAGGAAAGAAGAAAGAATTTTTATTTTTAACAAACAGACATCCATCTACAAAATAGCATAAGAACAATGCAAGCAACACTGAATTGCAGACAGTGATAGGAAATTAACAATGGTTGTTGTATTACATATTGATATCTTCAAAGTGATTTCTCAGGAAAACAAATATGGACATGCAAGATTGAGCAAATAATTAATCATTAACTGTTCCTTTCAGTAAAGTGATAGAAGTCAGTAGTACAACTATGTTAGCTATCCTGTATATACATACATACAATTTCCCCTTAGGAAGAAGGAATTAGGTTGTGTTCATAAATTTTGGTTTCTGTATGAGTTGGATGGATTATTTGGGGGAAGGAAAATAAAGCAAATGAGTAAAATGACAAATTGGATAAGAATCTCTTTTGTTTAAGCTTGTCATATTCATTGATATTGAACTGCTGATTTTAATTAGGGATTATCAGCCCATAAAAACACATGTACATGCTGGTATTTAGAGCATTTCAGAAATGACTCAGTGAGTCACTAGATCACATAAACAGGATTTGGATTCTCTAGAATTGCTATCTGATATCTATCTACGTATGTTTCAGTTTAGCCAGTATACATGTTTTAGTTTAGCCACTGAGATACAGTCCTTACATGTGATATGATCGCTTTCTTGGAATAACAATTCACAGCATATAACTTAGGACAGGATGAATTAAAAAATGTTTGGATGAGCTGGGGAAAATGATAAATGATGTATTATGATTTTAAAATCCTCATCTGGCCAACTTTGCACTTTATTTCAAACAGCTGTGGACCATTTGGAAGCCATTTTGTAGCTCAACTGAGTACTAATATTTACTGTATGAATCACATACCTTTAAAATATTTGTCTTTCCCTGAGAGAGAAAAAAACTCTTTTTTCCCAAATTTAACTTTGACATAAATCAGACCCATCTTCATAGGTTAGGTTTATGTATTTGATCTTTACAGCAGTTATTCACTGCCAAAGTCCCACAACCTCTTTGGTTTCTGAAAATAGAGGACTGTTTCTATCCATAACTAAATGCTTTGAAATATTTTTAAGAAACTTTTTACTGATTATTTTAAAGTATCTCTTCTAAGGTAAGAATTTCCCTATTTCATTTACATGTGAAATTCTTATACATTAGTATTTTTCTCTCATATTTGAGGTTTTTGGATAATTTCGCTGAATATAAAATTCAAACAGCAATTTAACCCAATTTTAGAAAATAGCACCAAGAAGACATACTCAGTATATAATATTGGAGCCATTAGGTAGTTCTCAAAGGTGGGGATTCTGATTATTGTTAGGAATGCTACCCTACATTTTAATTCTGATCTGGTCTCCTCACCTTTAAATACGATTACAGACATATTCCTGCTGAAATTACCCCCCTTTAAATTCTCCCTCTGAAAATCTGCAGCTATTCAGAAGAGTGGATCCATCAATCCATGTAATGTGACATGATAAGTTTACTCTTTTCTAAAGTGGTGTTTAGGCACTTGTACAATGATCCCAACATAGGCAATCATCAATAGCCAATGGGGAGCCATTTGTAGAAAACAGGAAACTGTGAGTGCTAGTCAGGTATTCCACAACAATATCGATCCCATAGTGAAACCCAAGGCACGTGTTCTTCCTGAAATGCATGGAGGTAAGACACCTTTCTCTCCTGTTTGTTAATCAACAAATTTCAGGAAAGTTAACACATTTGTGTCTTGGAAAAGACATTTAAGGGAACAGTATATAGAGATCTGTTTAACAAAAAAATCATTCAAGAGAAATCAGAACTCTGTGCTTCTAAATGCGTTTCTGAACAAAAGGTATAACAGACATGGATCTTACTACTCAAAGGCATTTGCTCTGCTTTAGCATGTCATTCATTTTCACGTGTGACTTTGACTTCCAATGATCAGTTCAGTAAGGTAAAATATTCTTATATTCCAATCAAAAGAATTGTCAGCTTTTTACTAAAAACTGAATTCTGAAATATAATTTTTAAAGTTTCATTAGCTTGCTACTTAGTAAAGATAGTGCACTGATTATATGGTACTAATGTGCTAATTGTTCATTCTATATTTTCATTGGCTTTTTTATTGTACCAAGATGCCAAGTATAAAAGTCAGGGCTGAAAACCTTCTCAAAGGAGAATAATTAACAAATTCATTGCATAGAGTCCCATTATAATTCTGTTGACAAGGTTAGTCATTTATTTACCTTAAGAACAATGTTCTTCTTTAATTAAAATATTCATGAGTAAATAATATTTCTCAATCTTGAATTTCACAGTTGAGTACTGGGCTCAGCAAACCGCAGTCATCATTAGAAACCAGCCATTTACCTCTGCTGCCAACTGGCAGATATTAGGTCTACAGACATAATTTATATTTAACTACTCTGACTAATTCTGAAGCCATTTTTCAATACTGACCTGTGTCTGGTTTTGAGCTCAGCATTACAAAATGCGAGCCAAGCCTTGTGCCCTGCTGTAAAATTCAACATGTGGAAAATTTAAAATATTTGTTTCAAGGAAAATACATTTCAATTTCCACAGTAAATGATGAAAAATATTTTGTTCTTTTGGGTTGATTTCAAAAGATTGCCAAACATCTTGTCTAAAATCTTGAAACAATCAGCTTAATGGCAGCAGACAAGCATGTGTGTTCACTGTGCTCATCTTTCATTTTTGAGTCTAATGTCTCCTTTCTGTTTAACTTAGCAGAGTGACCTTTAGCAGAATGACCAAGCAAGTCATCTTTCAGTTCTTTCACTCAATTTTGGGTTATTTTACTTTTATTTTCAAGATGATTCCCTCTCAAAAATGAAAAGCTTCTGTAAACGGAGATTCATCTTAGGACATTTTTACCTTTTCAGAATGAGATGTCTGCAGATCTATGTCATCTGGTGCTTTTGTTGGAAAAGCACAACCTGCACGGGTCATGCAGCATGATATTCATGCAGTCCTCAGCTGTTTGGGGTCCCCATTCCACTCCCAAATGTGTTCTTAGCTGTTACCCCTGACTCCTGAGTCTGTCAAAATAGAACTCCAAGGATTGAAATCTTCAAATAGTGATGGACCTACAAACTCTACCATATGTCCTTTGCTTATAATTATTAAACATGCTATGTCATCTTTCCATTCATCTTTGTTTTAATGCTAAGCATGGAATGTCTGTATTAGGCCTTGACTGCACTGTGCCCATTATAGACATTTTTGCTCGTTATAGAAATATGAATTTGCCAGTTACAGAAATCTGAATTTTACCTATTATAGAAGTGTGAATGCCTCACTTGCTCATGTGTGGTTTCCCTGGGAACCTTTATCCGTAGCATCTTCCTAAGCCAACTGCTTCCATGCTCAAAGTAGCCCAGATAAATCATTTCATGTACATTATGTAAAATGTAAAATTTTGCTTTCATTAATTTTCTTACCTAGTCTATTGCCAGTCTTATTTCAAATTTGTTTCAGTAGGAAAACACAATATTCAGAAAGATATGTATTATTTTATTATATAATTATATGTATGTATGTGCAGTTATCATCCTGTCTTATACTTCTCTGAAAACAAAAGCAGATGCACTTTCTAATTTAAGATTCTTTGTTGCTGTCATAGGTCTATAAAAAGAAAACCGAGGCTGCAAAGAAGGAGTACCTGAAGCAACTAGCAGCATACAGAGCCAGCCTTGTATCCAAGGTAACAGGCAATTGTGTGGCATTGTGACAGATTGTGGCCATCTCAGTGCAGACTTTGATAGTCATTTAAAAGCATAAAAGATCACTTTAGCATTTCTGCAGTCTCCTTTGTTGAGAAAAAGGACATCCTAAACAAAGCTATATGTTATGGAAATACTGGTTCGTCACTAAAAGACTGGAGCAGCATCCTCCTGGCCTTTTGTAAAATGCTGTTCACCTGTGGATTATTGGTTTTGTAGAGTTGTCATAGCACATTCTTAATCCTAAACCTACTTTCTATTTCTCCATCCCCAATGCTTAAATTGCCTCTGCTTCATCTTTCCGCCTTTTTTTCTGAGGAGATAGATACCAACTCTTTTAATTTCTGCCCACTGCATCATCATTAGGAATTAGGCTGGCAAGAAAAAAGAAAGAAAAAGCACATCATTTTGTTTAAAATTTAAAACATGACTTTGTAATTTTTGTTGTTTTGTTTGTTTTGTTTTGTTTTGTTTTGAGACAGAGTCTCATTATGTAATTCAGATGCCTTTGAACTCCTCATTTTGTAGCCTAGGCTGGCCTTGAACTCATGGTGATCCTCACCTCAGCTTCCCAAGAGCTAGAATTACTACCTGACTTTAAAATATTTTGTGCTTCAGAATATTTTAAGCATTAGTTCTTGCTGTTATAAATACTCAGGAGTTGGCTCTATTTGGACTCATGTTACTAAAGATGTATTTTTCTATATAAAATACTCAGGGAAATAACCACAGAAAAACTGGACTGAATCTAGAATGACTGGCCACCATGTCACCTGAAGTCCACACTGGCCGTGACTTGCCCATTCTGACCCTGGACTCTGGACTCCATTGCATTTGCTTGTGAAAAATACTTTTTTTTAATACACAAATATTCTTTACCATTCTAGCAAATCTAAGATAATTATATAAATTAGTGCTTTATGAAGAAAAATATATACTGAGTATATTGTCACATAGAAGAATATAGAAGGCAAAATACAAATGAATCCAATATTTTAGCACAGTGTTGGTCTAATTCAGTTGCATGGTCCATTTCTAAGGTATGACACTGTAAGAAAATTTACTGTTTGGGATTTAATTGTCAGCTTGCTAACTCTCCTGCTTTCTTGCACTCTGTATCATATACTTTCTAATTTATGTAGCTCCTTTTGAAGCTATTTATATTTTCTGCTGATATCATTTCACATTTTGCTATATGTATAGCATTCACAGAATGCTTCTAAAATTATAACCGAATATCAGATCCATCCAGCCATTAGTTAACATTGTTACAGGCTAATATGTTAAAAAGAGAAAGGAGGCTTTTAAAAAATGAATTCTCCTTTCCTCATTCAAGATATCTTTCTTTTTAAACATTTGAACAGAGTTTAAGTCAGAGCATCTTTACATGTGAAAAAATCAATGCAGAAAGTCTCGATCCCAGTACCAAGTACTCCATGACATGTGGATTGCTGGAGTGCGATAATACTGACTAAGCCTTTACCTCCAAAACAAGTGTCCTCAGATTTGCTCTGAGCTGCAACTTTTCTCACTATTCAGTCTCAGAGCTGCAACCCGCAGTACACAGCAATTTGTATAAACGCTGTGAATTGCCATTTCTACATTTAAAAAACAAGCACTTTTTTTACAGCTTACTCTGACATTTTTCTTCTCTTTGGCAGTAAGAATTTTGCTGGAGCTGTTGAATCTCTATTTAGGTACAACTATCTATTATGTTTATACAAATGGGAGGGAAGTTACAATCGTTCCCTCCAGGTTAGAAAAATGACCCTCTGATATAGTACATGAACAGATGTGTGCTGTATGAACCTTCTGTGCACCTACAGAAAATGTACCAACTTACTCTCCAATAGCAGATAGTGTATAAAATCCATTTATTGCTCTATTTTAATTGTGACTAGGCAAATTTTTACTGCTATAAATTATTTCACTATTAAAGAATACCTAAAACAGCCAAGAGAAAATATAATATAATGTAATAGTTACAGTTCCAGAAAACTACGTATCAGCCAAATTCTATTCTGTTGTTATTGTTGTTATTTCTTCTTCTCCTCCTCCTCCTCCTCCTCTTCCTCCTCCTCCTCCTCC